TTTGACCTGAGAACTTTTTGACTTGAGAACCACCTTCCAATACGGATTAAGTTCTCAAGTCAAGACCCCACTGTAGTGTTAAACAATGTAAAGAGAGAGAGAGAGTGCTTACTAGAAAAATGTGTGTAAAAATAAATGTATATAACAATATGTATGTAGTGGGAGTTTTGTAGTATGCCAAGTTTGAAAAAAATTGCTCTGTTTTGGCTGAAATCCTGTTCACAGAGCTAAATTACGTAAGGCTGATGGCTCAGCTGTATTGATTTTTCCAGAAGTATTTTTTTTTTTTTGCTTCCTCCTCCACAAGGTCCTGCAGCTTCCATGGTTCTTATGGAATCCTTTCCTTATGAGGAAGTTGATGGGGCCCATGTTACCAGCTGGTGATAACTTTTGAAATTTCTGAAAATGCCACTGCTGGTAGTCAGCCTGCTGGTCCTGATTTTTAGGAAATTAAAGACTCCCTGCCCCCCCCCTTGTCCTGCAACTCCCAATGGCTTCTCCATGATGAAAAGGATTCCATGGGAACCTGGGAACCTTCAGATGGGGTAAATGGTAATTTTTTATTTTCAGGAAAATCACCCTGGCTATTTATGTCATCAGTCTTATGAAGCAGAGCTCTGCAAACAGATTTCAGCCATCATGTAATAATGCCAAAATCCTGCATGTGTTAGTAACATTCATGGAATTGCAGACGTGGGAGAGGCTTCAGGTATCATCTAGTATGATTTCCTATTGATGCGTTGAGAGCAGAGCTAAAAACGAACCAGGAAATTCATCAAAATTCACTAATTTGTTTTTGGATCGGTTTGGGTTCATCCAAACTGAAGAACCTAAAATTTACCAAACCAACAAAATTTTGGAAATTTATGAACCTCCTGGTTTGTTGCCCGCCATCAGCCTCCCCGCCCTTCCCACTGCCCCCTTTGTCTCCCCACCTTTTCCTGCCACTGCTTCTTCTTGTTCCATTGCCACCATCATCCTGAGAGTCTCATTGCAGGCCAGTGGCCTTTTCCCAAAGCATGTGCCAAATGTGAATTCATGTTCAGCTGGGAGGTGGCAACATGTGCAATTAACTGATACAAAAATGTTTTTTTTAAAAAAAAATCAGTACTGTATAATTATTTTTATTTAGCCAGCCTGCCAGCTGGCCTGGGATCATCTACACTGTCCCTACCGCCCAGCGTCATCTAGTATGATTTCCTATTGATGCGCTGAGAGTAGAGCTAAAAACGAACCAGAAAATTCATCAAAATTAACTAATTTGTTTTTGGATCGGTTCAGGTTCATCCAAATTGAAGAACCTAAAGTTTACCAAACCAACAAAATTTTGGCAATTTATGAACCTCCTGGTTTGTTGCCCGCCATCAGCCTCCCCGCCCTTCCCACTGCCCCCTTTGTCTCCCCACCTTTTCCTGCCACTGCTTCTTCTTGTTCCATTGCCACCATCATCCTGAGAGTCTCATTGCAGGCCAGTGGCCTTTTCCCAAAGCATGTGCCAAATGTGAATTCATGTTCAGCTGGGAGGTGGCAACATGTGCAGATGGCCCTCAGCTCACTGAAAGGACGATTAACTGATAGAAAAATGTTTTTTTTTAAAAAAAAAATCAGTACTGTATAATTTTTTTTTATTTAGCCAGCCTGCCAGCTGGCCTGGGATCATCTACACTGTCCCTACCGCCCAGCTGAGATGTGCAAACATGTGCAGATGGCTCTGGCTGGATGACATGCCATCTAAGTAGAAAAATTAATTAATTAATTAATTGATTGATTAATTGTATTTCTAGCCCCTTAGAACTCTCTGAAGTGTTGAACCTCCATAATAAAACAGGATACGCTATCAGATCTGATGTGTATATCATAATTATGGATTTGATTAGACCATCAAATTATCCCAGGCTGGATTAGAATAAATGAAAGGCTACCAGCCTGCAGAAGGGCTCTCAAGATCGTGGTGGCAGCTGAGAAAGAGGAGGCAGTGGCAGGAAAAGGTAGGAAGGCAAAGGGGCAGTGGGAAGGGGCTGAGGGGCAGGCTGGGGGTTGGACTGTCTAAAAAAAATCCTGAATGAGCCAACACATGATTCTCAGTTCATTCAGGAAAAAATCCAAAAATTTGCGGTTTGTGATTCATGGACTTCCACAAACCAAGACAAACCATCATTTTGGCAGTTCCTGCACATCTCTAATTGAGAGCCATAGACCTTCTGACAAATAGACATCCAATCTAGGGTGGCTGTTGCTGCCTCACCCAAAGTACGACAACCATCACTGGGAAAGAAAGTCATCACTGAAAAGAAGGAGATTTTACAATGAAGTTGTATGTGCTAATTTTAGCTAATATATACAAATACAGCCAAAATTACAGTAATTTGTGTTATAGGTCTCGCAACAAAGGCTTTTACCTTATATGGCGCAAGAAATAGCTGATGTTCAAGATGGATTGTAAGTACAGCCAAAATTACATTAATTTGTGTTATAGGTCTTGCGACAAAGGCTTTTACCTTATATGGCGCAAAAAATACCTGATGTTCAAGATGGATTCTAAAAAGGAGAGGCACTCAATATCATAACGTAAATATCCACTGGCTACTTAAAAGCACCAAAGAGTTTCAGAAGAAGATCAGTCTATGCTTTATGGACTAAAATATTTTGACTGTGTGGATCATGGGAAACCATGGGGTATTCTGAAAGAAATGGGTGTGTTTCAGCACTTGATGCCTAACTTGCATTGTGGAAACAAGCTACTGTTAGGACAGAATATGGAGAGACAAAATAGTTTCCAGTAGGCAAAGGTGTCAGAAAAGGGTGAATTTTATACTCTTTATCTGTTCAATCTGTGTGCAGAAAATATCATATGGAAAGCTGAACTAGGTTCAGATTTATTCTGAAAGAAATGGGCGTGTTTCAGCACTTGATGCCTAACTTGCATTGTGGAAACAAGCTACTGTTAGGACAGAATATGGAGAGACAAAATAGTTTCCAGTAGGCAAAGGTGTCAGAAAAGGGTGAATTTTATACTCTTTATCTGTTCAATCTGTGTGCAGAAAATATCATATGGAAAGCTGAACTAGGTTCAGATGAAGGAGTAAAAATTAATGGAAGAAGCATCAATAATTTAACATATGCAGATGACGCCATCTTATTGGCATGAAGGAGCAATGACTTGAACCAACTTTTAGCAAAAGTGGGAGAAGAAAGTGACAAAACAAGATGACAGATGAATGTTAAGAACACCAAAATCATGGCTATGGGAGAACTACCCAGCTTTAATACTGACAATGAAGAAATTGAAATAGTTAGAGATTTTGTAAACCTTGGTTCATTCATCACTCCAAATGGAGACAATTGATTTGTATTTTGGTTTATGTATTTTATGTTGTAGTTTATAAAGTAAAATAAAAATATTATTTAAAAAAACACACAAATGGAGTCTTCAGTCAAAAAAATCAGAAGAAGACTGAGACATGGAGAGACAGCAATGAAGGAACTAGAAAAGATGTAAAGATGTGTTATGGGAGCCCAAGACCAAGATCACCTCCACTCTTGTATTTTCTGCCACCGTGTATGGGTGCAAAAACTAAATAGTTAAGAAAGTTGGCAGGGAAAAATTGATTCATTTGAAATATTATGTTGGAGGAGAGCCTTGCAGATAGCTTTGATTGCCATAAAGATGAACAAGTGGGTGCTAGATCAAATCAAGCCTGGACTATCTCTGGAGGCAAAAATGTTGAAACCGAGACTGTACTGTTTTGGGCACATCATGAGAAAGTAGGATTCTCTGGAAAAAACAAAATAATGCTGGGAAAGGGAAGGCAACAGAAAAAAAGGAAGTCCAAATATGACATGGACTGACAAAGGATACCACAGGGTTCAGCTTACTATTACAGAGCAGTTAAGGACATTTTGGAAATCATGCTTTCATAGGGTTGCCATGGGTCAGAGTCAACTTAATGGCACATAACAACAATAACAAGAAGAACTGAATATGGGGTGGCCGCATTGGGACCACTTTGTGGGCAGAACTTTAAAAGCCTCACACTTTCATAACTGTGCTACTAATTATCAAATATGAATA